TACTTTAACTTTTGCTATGCGTTAGCACCAGATAAATAAAACAAACAAATGATCCCCCTTGATCCCGTAATTGTACTGTAGCTCGGACACTTTCACTAACAAAATTTTCACAATGATCCAATGAAATTAAGATCTACCATCTTTCGATGTAAGAGTATTGAAGAATTTCTTGGTAGGAATCATTTATATTCCCTTTGTAGGCTTATAGCCTGTTTGGCCAAGCTTTTCAAGAGGCCAAAAGTGTTTTTTTTCTTCAAAAATACTTTTTTTCCCCCAACTTGAGGTGTTTGGCCAAGCTTTTTTGAGGAAAAAAAGTGCTTTTGGGAAGAAGCAGAAGCAGTTTCTGAGAAGCAGAAAAAAGTAGCTTCTTCCCAAAAGCAGAAGCAGAAGCAGTTTTGACTTTTCTTCTTACCAAAAATGCCTTTAACAAAATATAGTATATACCAAAATAACCGTTAAACCTAATACTTAGGATATTAATGTATAAATATTTCTTCTTATTTTTAGGATAGCTTTCTAATATATAGTGACTTTAGCAGTGAATGCTTTTATATTTGTTGAATGATTTTTAATATATTTAACTTATATTAAAAGAATTATTTTATTTTTATATTTTACTTAAATAAAATGAAAAGATTTAATTAGTGCATGTAATAACAAATTTTTGAGATTATTTATTTACTTATAATATTAACTATAAAGTGAATCTATTCATGTCTTTATTCGTAATTTGATACTTAAAAGCACTTTCTGAAAAGCTTATCCAAACACAAACTGCTTCTTTCTGAAAGTACTTTTTTCAAAAGCACTTTTAAAAAAAATACTTCTCAAAATAAGTTAGATTTCTCCGGCTTGGCCAAACAGGCTATTAGTCGACATGAATTCAGACAATTGAGTTTCGAACATCATAAGTCATAACTAAACCACATATCACTCTTCACATGTTCTAAATGGTCCAACTCCCCCACCGCCCTTACTTACTAAATTGGTAATTTTAAACGTAGCAAGTAGAAAGCTTTGGGGTCTTTAACATTAAGAGCCCGTTTGAATATACAAATCTTTTTCTTTTTTTTTTTTCAATTTTTTTTTTGAAAACAATGTTTGGTTATCCTATTCTTACAAATTTTTCCTTTTTCACTTGAAAATCCATTTTCAAATTTGAAATACTGGTTTTCACCAGATTTTCAATTGAAATGGAATTTGCTAGTTTTAGTTTTACAAATTTTCTATATTTTTAAAATTTATAAATGACCCATCAGTTTTCCATCTTTGGGAAATACATATTTGGCGACTGATGGTCAGTCCTAGTTGATACTTGAACTCTGCCTACTGGAAGTTTGATTATATGGTTATGAGAAATATGTGGATATGCCTGCTTTTGCACATTCTCTGTGTGTTAGTAAAATTAGAAAATGCGATATTGATTTTGCATCTTTTGTGTATTGTAGTATAGCAGAATATGATAATAGTTAAACAATAGTATTTTGATTGTTTATTTCAAGTAGGATAATCAAATTGGGGTGATTTTGATATTTTTTACAAGTTGTGGGGTATAAATCATGTTTCATGGTTTTGAAAAAAAGACATTCAAATATGTTGCAAAAATTATAACCAAACACAACTTCATCTTCAATTCAAATTTTATTGAAATTTCAAATTTAAAAAAAAAAAAAAATGGAATTAGTAGCCAAACGCCTACTAAAATTCAAGAGAAATTCAAAAGTTGAGGATGTAGCAATTACCACATGTTTGTCATAAGTCACTGTCAATAGTTAACCCAAATGATTTCGGCAGACCGAGAATCAACATGGGATATGGTCGGTCACGAAACCACCGCACAAATTAGGCTTGACCTTCAAGAGGCAATAATACATTTATGACATGTATGCTTGTGGTAAATTGTAGATGAAGATGGCTGTTAGTCAAGTTTAAGGGACGAAGCATAGTAAAAATTCAAAAATAATCAGATTTACGAGTGATCATTCAAATATAGCCATAGTTTCAAAAGTAATCGAAATTTAGACATTTTTCATGTAAAGATAAATGTGAACGAAACACTATTAAAGATCCGGAAAATACTCCAGTATATTATACTGGAGTTCCAGCATAAGTATACTGGAACTCCAGCATAATATACTAGAGTTCCAGTGTAATATGCTGGAAGTTCATACACATATGCTCTAATCTTCAGTATATTATGTTGGAACTTTTCGCGTGTTGGAGTTCCAGCATAATATGCTAGAAGTTCATAAACAGGTGCACCGATCTCCAGTATATTATGCTAGACCGGTCCATGTTGCAGCAAAATAGTGGTTATTTTTAATGACTCTTTGTAAACGCTGGCTATTTTTGAATGACCAGTCCAAAAACTGGCTAGTCCAGCTATTTTTACAGCATAGTGACATAATGACAAAATTGAACTAACTTATGGTCAATTATAAGGCGTTATTGTGCTTTTGTAAGCGCAATAATTTCTTGTTGTCTCCTTTTTAGAATTTGTACATGATTTTTCTTTAGCTTGTACATATTCGGATGCTAAGGGTATAAAACAATCAAACTGAAACAAGTAAATAAGCGATATTTTCTTTTTTTGATTTTGTTCGTTTTTTTCAGGAAAAAAAGAGGATAATATATTGATTTTATTTTATTTTATTTTAAAGTGTCTTAACCAAACCAATAAATTATAATACAAATCTTATGTGATTATTCATATATTAACACATCATTTCTTGCTGCTGTTGAAAGATGGCTATTTGAACTTGCTTCTATCGTACTTGTCAGAATGAATAAATTGACAAATTGAATCGATAAATTTATACTATAATATTTGGTTTAATTTGGTTTTCATGATTAAAAATCAACTAAGTTTTTTTGGTGATTTAAATTTATTCTTTGCCAAGCATCCTCATCTTGGCGTGTATATGTATCATTACGCATATTATGTCAATGGACTTGTATGTATTTCTCAATATCCTTTTTTTTAAAAATTTAATTTGTACAAGAATATTTCCAATTTGAAACACAAAAGCAAAATGGCTAACAATGGAGAGAGACAATAAAGGGGTAGCTATCAAACACATTATTATCGATCATTAAAAGAGGTTATATAATAAGTCGTTTTGTGATCAGAATAGGTCCAAATTTTCGAAAGAACATTAATCGTATATCCGATCTTTTAATTCACAAAAGCAAAAGATAATGAAATTAAATACTGCAAAAGTTGTTGGACAGACTCATGATCAATTAAAAATTTACAGAACAAAACCTAATATTCCTCAATGGAGAGTAATTTAATTCAAAAGTGCAGGCAACTACCAAACATGACAGGAACTTTCAAAGGATTCCTAATCCAGCAAGTAATTTACATTATTAAACCCTAATTATCCAATATATTAATTAGCTCACAATAAACTTAATTTAGTCCACTTCAATTAATATCCATACATTTCATAATAAAAAAATCAAATATTCAGCGCCCCCCCCC